TTATAAAGGAAGTTCCACCCAGGCCCAGTACGAATATAAGGACGATGACAGTTATTATATTTATAAAGAGAGTTCCACCCAGGCCCAGTACGAATATAAGGACGATGTCAGTTATTATATTTATAAAGGAAGTTCCACCCAGGCCCAGTACGAATATAAGGACGATGTCAGTTATTATATTTATAAAGAAAGTTCCATTCAGGCCCAGTAAGAATCCGCTACGTCAGGGATTCTCAACTTTTCCTCCATCACTAACCCCCTCGGCTTGATGTATTTCTCCAATTACCCCCTTACTTCCATACAAAAAATTCATAGCCACCATAAAGGGACAGAAAAACAAGAAGGTCAGAAAAAAAATATTATTCAGGTTTTGCACAAAAATAGCAATATACATTGGTATCACCAAAAAAGAAATTTAATTGAATTATTATTCAATTATCAGGTTCATCAATTATTTACCCCCCCCCCCTGCCATGTAATTATCATGTAATTATTTACCCCTGGTTGAGAATCACTGCTACGAGGTTTTTGGTGAATTCAGTAAATTGGTAACTTTACATCAGCGTGACATACCTTTCAACAACTCTTCAAGCCCGGCCAGTTTAATGAAGCGGGTTAGTTCTTTAAGGATGGGAGAGCTGGAAACAGTACTGTACAAGTCCCCTTGTGGGCTGTATAGTACGCGGTTCACCACGAACACAGCAACATTTCCAGATTGGCGAAGGTTTCCAGTGGAAGCACCAGATACAGTCAATAACTTTAAGAAGTTAAATAAAGTTAGTTTTGATTTTCGAAAACAATATTTGACAAAGAATATGAATTTTAAACGACTACGTGTAGATAGGTGCCAATTGTGAGATAAAACTGAAAAATTGATCAGTTTATGTTAGGTTTCGAATTTTAACATAACTATTGCTATTTTATAGTTTTACACAAATAAATTACTACAACATTAAAGTATTTTTTTTAATTCACGCTATTTTACAGAAAATTTAAATACAATTTAAAATGCATTTTCAGTATATTTCATAGTAGCTCTAGGTAGCAGCACTAGCAGAAGCCCAAAGAAAGGATTTTGTGATGCGCCATGATAAGATTACTTACACTCCCATTCCGATAATAGTTGAAACGGATGTTTTTGCCTTGAGCCAGTGTTGGCACCGTTTGTTCGTTCTGGATATCTTGTGGTTTCAGCTGAACTGTAGATATATGGTATTTAAGAAGTGGACGAAGGCGATCAGGGTTATCGCGAATGGATGACTGTACACTCGCTGGGAGCGAGGCTACGGCTTCGTCCGTAGGTGCAAACACCGTGTATTGTCCTGAAGAGAAATCATAGCATGTAAAAACAAGAATTCAAAAAGGCTATTCCACTTTATTGTGGTCAACAATTTAACAGGAAACGATGGACATATACGTCACTGATTAAAACGCTTTTCTACTATTTCACCACCAAGGTATTATCTCATCTTAGTCATTAACGTGGATGAGAAATTAATTATTTCTCAGCACGTTCGAGGGCTATGCGATTCGTAAAGCTTTACAAAGTTAGTCATAATAACTTGTATGCCACTTTCAAAAAACTAACCAACCTCCATCTTGAATAACGTTGTCCAGTCCGGTCTCCGTCAGCCAACTGAAGAAAGTGTCCACTCCCATTCCCCGTGCCAGTTCTGCAATATTTGGTTTAACTTGGTGACCACTGGCAGGCTCTACATAGTGAGATGTAAACTATTAAGACTTGAAGACGCATATTAAATTGTTTAATCTGAGCTACAAAATGATTTGTATTAAGTTGAATTAGTTTCATGTTCTTCTGAGCTACAAAATGATTTGTGTATTAAGTTGATTTAGTTTCATGTTCTTCTGAGCCACAAAATGATTTGTGTATTAAGTTGATTTAGTTTCATGTTCTTCTGAGCTACAAAATGATTTGTGTATTAAGTTGATTTAGTTTCATGTTCTTCTGAGCTACAAAATGATTTGTGTATTAAGTTTTAGTTTTCACGTTCTTCTGAGCTACAAAACGATTTGTGTATTAATTTGATTTAGTTTCATGTTCTTCTGAGCTACAAAATGATTTGTGTATTAAGTTGATTTAGTTTCCATATTCTTTTGAGCTACAAAATGATTTGTGTATTAAGTTGATTTAGTTTCATTATTTTTTTTGTAGGAGATCGAACTATGATTACCCCCCCCCCCGATTCGCAGACAGTGAATAAGTTTAATTTAGAAATATAACTAAAAACACATTCATATTATAGGCAGAATTCTCAGAGCTCAAGCAGATACAAACATTACGGACTGATCCCACAGGGTTCTGGTTCTCCAGTACAAACATTACGGACTGGTCCA